TCATTGAGACCTTTCATTTAAGTACCCACATCATTTTTTCATATATTTATATATATTATATATATCTATGTATGAAAAATATATCAAAAATGCATGTGGGTACTCAATTGAAAGCTCTTGATGAGTGTAACATCAGGGTGAGCTTATCTCGTTAAAAATATCAGTAATTAAGAAATGACCTTGTATCTTGTGAACTATTGACATTTTTGAAGATATAAGCTCACCTCGACATTACACTCATCGATACCTTTCATTTGAGTACCCACATCAATTTTTCATATATTTTAATATATATATTATATATATATATCTGTATATATGAAAAATATATCAAAAATGCAAGTGGGTACTCAAGTGAAAGCTCTTGATGAGTGTAACATCAGGGTGAGCTTATCTCGTTAAAAATATCAGTAATTAAGAAATGACCTTGTATCTTGTGAACTATTGACATTTTTGAAGATATAAGCTCACCTCGACATTACACTCATCGATACCTTTCATTTGAGTACCCACATCAATTTTTTCATATATTTATATATATTATATATATCTATGTATGAAAAATATATCAAAAATGCATATGGGTACTCAAATTAAAGCTCTTGATGAGTGTAACATCGGGATGAGCTTATATCTTTAAAAATGTCAATAATTCACAAGATATAAGGTAGTTTCTTGATTATGAAGAATTTCACTGTACTTTCTTCAATATTGACGTTTTCGAAGCTATAAGCTCATCCCGGTGTTACACTCATCAAGAGCTTTCATTTGAGTACCCACATGTATTTTGATATATTTTTCATATATACATATATATAATATATATATAAATATATGAAAAATTGATGTGGGTACTTAAATGAAAGGTCTTGATGTGTGTAATGTCAGAGTGACCTTATATCTTTAAAAATGTCAATAGTTCTCAAGATACAAGGTGGTTTTTTAATTATGTATCTAGAGATAAAGTTTTTTTGTATGCAGCCTAAATACTTATCATAATAAATTGACTAACGGTGAAAAAAATTCTTACTGTGCTTTAAAGTATCGCTGCAAGCCCTCACGAAAAACTTCTTCAGTAAGAATATGTTCAAGCATATGAATAACAGCAGCCCCTTTGCGATAGGTAACTGGATTGAATACCATGCGCAGGGCTATTTTTCCCGGGGGAGTCCATTTTATAGGTTTTGCTTGAGGAAGATAACTCTCACTGTCGTAAGAATCATGGTTGACACTTTCAATTACGAAATGGTCCATTATGTGCCAGTGTGGATAAATCTACAGCAATGATTTTTTATCAAGTGTATAATTATAATTATAACACTAATTACCTGATCAATTATTTTGCTTTGAAAGTATGCAGCAAACCCTTCATTTAACCAAGTGTCATCCCACCAAACAGGACTTACGAGATTACCAAACCACTGATGCGCTAGCTCATGAGCGACAAGAAAAAGTATTCTGTCTTTTTGTTCAATATTGGGAATCAATGTTGAGTTTTCGAATTTTACCATTCTTGTGCTAAATAAATTAAAATAAACTTTATAATTTATTAATAAACATTTAATAACCAACATTTGATAATTTGAAAAGTTTTTGTAGCTAATAAATTGCAAAAAAAAAATATTTTTAATTCCACATGAAGAAATTGTAAAAAAACAAAAAAAAAAAAATTTTAAAAAAATGTTTTAAAATTTAAGTGTAGTGAAATAAAAATAGAATATTTAAAAAGTTATCCTAACAATCTCTAAAAAAAATCAAATCATGTTATGTATAAAATAATAAATATAAAAAAAAAAATAAAATAATGAATACACTAATTAGAGTGATTAATAATTAATTAAATTTATTATTTAATTTAATTCGTTAGCATATAATCAAACTTACTACAATATACAAAAAATAATCAATATTAATATAAAAAAATCCATTAATATAAATCCAACTTTAATTTCTGCAGTTGATCCTGAAGATTAGCAAAGTTGTCTTGCAGATTTTTTTCACTTGCTATTTGCTTATTAACGTTGTTCGTCAGAGAATCAATTTTTTGTGTGATCGCAGCTTCCTCTTGAGTCTTCAAAAATTTGAATTTCAAAAGCTCGAGATGCACCTGCTGAATTTGATCCCAAAAATCATCATGTTGCTTAGACAAAACTTAAGCGCGAGTTTGATGACCTCCAGTTAAAATTTTCACTTTTTTCTCCAGCTTGGTTGCTTTTTTAGCTTGTTCGGTCGTATGAGCTAAATTTTCTTCAAGTGTCTTCTGAACAGACTCAATTCGGTCTTTTTTGGATTATTATAATTATTTACTACTAATAAAATTATTTAGTATTGTTTAAAAAAGTGAACAAATTATAAATAAAAAGCCTGAATAAAATTCTTTAAGTCTTGATAATTAAAATATTCAACTATTATTATTACCAATTCATATGACAAAGGGATAGCTTTACGGAGATTTTCTACTCTTTTTAATGCTTCTAACTGCTCAACTATTCTTAAAGTTTATTTTATTCTATTCGAAATTTGTTTTCGGAAGAAAAAATAATCAGCTCCCACGAAAATACCAGTATTATCAAGGTCGGCCCTCTCAAGTAACTGAGTAAAAGGATCTTTAGGGGTCGAGAAGGTATTTTCAAACGCGTCTATCAAGGATTTATTTTTCACTATCAAACGTGATCGTCTATCATCAAAGCATGACATTATCAAGTCATAATACGTTATACTTTTATCATCATACTTAAGCACTTTTGTTTTTAACTCCCCTTGAATAATATTTTGTTCGTATGTATGTGCTAGTTTCCTCCAATCTATCTCTTCAGCAATTAACTTCTCCATTAATATTTTTTCACCTTCAGGAATGAATAAACCAAACGTACGCCCGAGAAAAAATGTTTCTATATAATCATATATAATTGTATATAATCATATATGATTATATATGGAATCACATATATAATTATATAGAATTATATATAATCATATATAATTATATATAATCATACATGATTATATATGGAATTGTATATGAGGTTATACATAATCATATATAATTATATATGACTATATATAGAGCAATATACAGCCAAGCAAGATTATATATAATTATATATAGTTATATATAATCATACATGATTATATATGGAATTGTATATGAAGTCATATATAATCATATATAATTATAATTATGTATGATTATATATAATTATGTATGATTATATATAATTATGTATGATTATATATAATTATGTATGATTATATATAATTATGTATGATTATATATAATTATGTATGATTATATATAATTATGTATGATTATATATAATTATGTATGATTATATATAATTATGTATGATTATATATAATTATGTATGATTATATATAATTATGTATGATTATATATAATTATGTATGATTATATATAATTATGTATGATTATATATAATCTTGCTTGGCTGTATGTTGCTCTATATATAGTCATATATAATTATATATTATATATGATTATATATAACCTCATACACAATTCCATTTATAATCATGTATGATTATATATAACTATATATGATTATATATAACAATATTTAATTATATATTTATTACATCTAATTAATTATTGTGTTAATTTTATGGATAGAGTATTTAATATGGTCCTATGCAATTCTGTGTAACCGATCAAAATGCAAAATAAATATCTAGATCTAATTTTATGGCTATAACACCAGTGGTCACCCATCCAACTATTAACCCTTCTCAATGCTGCTTAATTTTGGTGATCTCCGTGCGTCTTGAAGTTTCTGTCTGCTGTGCTGCTGTCTTAGGCAATAATGATTCTATGATCTACTTAATGTATCATATGAGTTTATCATAATTATAATATAAAAATTGATTTTATAATATATTTGGATAGTCATTATTCATAATTTATTTATCTTACCGAATTTCATTATAATATAACCCTTATTTAAATAATAAAATAAATAATGATTTCACTATTACGTAGTAGCAGAGCGGACAAAACATCTCATAGGAAATGTGCCAAATTTTGTATTTCAGAATTATTTAAATGTAATTATAAACATCATTTTACACTTTTATGGGACTATGTACAATCTTGCATAGCTGTATATTGCTCCCTATATAGTCATATATAATTATATATGATTATAAATAACCTCATATACAATTTCATATATAATCATGTATGATTATATGTAATTATATATGATTATATATAATTATATATGCTTATATATAATTAACATGCATAAAAATTTTTTGTTTGAAAAAAAAATTTTTTTTGGTAATTACCAAAAGTGTAAAATGATGTTTATAATTACGTTTACATAATTCTGAAATACAAAATTTGTCACATTTTCTATGAGATGTTTTGTCTGCTCTGCTACTACGTAGTAGTAAAATCATTATTTATTTTATTATTCAAATAAGTGTTATATTATAATTAAATTCGGTAAGATAAATAAATTATGAATTATGACTATTCAAATATATTATAAAATCAATTTTTTTATTATATTTATGATAAACTAAAGGATTTCCTTAAGTAAATCATAGAATCATTATTGTCTAAGATAGCAGCACAGCAGACAGAAACTTCAAGACGCACGGAGATCACCAAAGTTAAGCAGCATTGAGCAGGGTTAATAGTTGGATGGGTGACCGCTGGTGTTACAGCCATAAAATTAGATCTAGATATTTTTTTTGCATTTTGATCGGTTACACAGAATTGCGTAGGACCATATTAAATACTCTATCCATAAAATTAACCCAATAATTAATTAGATGTAATAAATCTATAATTAAATATTGTTATATATAATTAGATATGATTATATTTGGCCATTTTTTATATATAATCATATATAACCAATTTATATATAAATATATATAAATATTTTTTCTCGGGCGCCTATAAATAAGGTCTTTTAGAATTAAGTTGATACTTATTCTTTTTATATACGTACTAAATTGTATATCTGTAATTTTAGGTTGACCTAATATGAAATGCAAAGCCGTTGATTTTGAAATATTCTCATGATATGCAAAACAATTTTTCCAGTGTTTTTGAATAATGCTTGCGAGCCGCTATATTGATTAATAGAGTATTTGGATTATCATTTATGGTTGCGTTAACATCAGCACCGGCATCAAGTAACTCCTCAATTAAACGAGCGCTATTCAGATCATCTAATACGTGAGAAATAATGTCGTCCTTAACAAAGTTTGGATCATTTTTTGGATATAATTTATAGTGGGCAGCAGTATAATCATCACTGTCACGGGCGTTTATCCATTCATGATCATGTACTTTTTCTATAAGTGAAGATGCGATTTTCATCTTCCTATTCTCAATAGCATACATCAATAGTGTTTTATTTTTCAGACTCTTAACTTTCAAATTTGCTTTGCATTCGATTAATGCCATCACAAACCAACCATCATTACGATATAGGATCGAATAAGTTAACAAAGTCATCTTATTCCCAAAATCATTGCGCCACTTGTCACTTTTAATGTATGTTGTAAAAAGTTTTTCTCCTAATATTTCAGCATCAACGTTGGCACCAGCGTCTAACAAAATACCTAAAAGTTTCACAGGCATTCTAGGTTCGAATAAACACACAAAGTGAATAGGTTGAGCTCCATCGTCAGCAACAGCATTTACATTTGCATGGTAGTCTTCAACTAATAATCTTATAAATTCTTCATTTCCATCCATGCAAGCTATATGCAATGCTGTGTATCCAGCAAAAGGTCCAGTCGTTTCTATAGGTGCATTGTTAATTATTTGATCTTCAAAAAATGAACTACTTCGTCCGATTTGATGATTTGAAATAGCTTGATACACTGCTAAACGATATTTATCGATTGAAGCATCCATATTATCTTTATCTTCGCGCAAGAATTCCTTACGCCCGTCTGTATTTATGACCATACTAAACAAATAATCCACCATTTTTTACAATTACAATTTTTTTTTATTATTGTAATAATTAAAGAGTGAGAGTCGTTATTCACTATAGTAACCACTAAAAATCAATTTGTTCAATAATGAATTATAAATTTTTGATTTTTCACTTTTTTACACTATTTTTCAGTATATATTTAATCTTATGCCACTTGGCATAAGTCTGATATATCAATGAAATTACTAAAAAATAACCAGAATATATATGGTTAGATTTTACTATTTAGCTATTTCTGTGTAGAAATTACTTAGTTCTGAGGGTTATTCAACAATTCAATTTTTATATTTTCACTCGATAATTTTGGAATGGAAAAATGTTGCACTAAACAATTTTTAGGAAATATCGTGAATTATAACACGTGGATAGAGTGTAACTAACACTATGCACAGAGCTGCAATAACCTTTGAGATGATAATTAGAATATACATAGTACAACTTAGTTACAAGTTATATTTCTTTCTCTCTTCTACCAACATGAAATATTTCAAACATAGCTATAACAGCTGTGAGAGTGAGTAGATCATCCGACGTAACTTATATTAACCAGGTTGTACATCTTTACTCAATAGTATTTTTATTTAACTCCTATTCTTTCTCGCTTCACAGCATTATTTCATTTTTTATGAACAAATTTTATTTTGTTTAAAATTATTTCCATGAAAAGTAAATTTCTACTATGAGTTATTTGTCTAATAAAAACAAGTTTTTTTAGTAGATTTCATAGAAATCTAACTAAATATATGGTTCAAAAGTTTATATATGTATATATGTATATATATTTATATAAATAAATATCGGATACACGGAGAAAATTTTATAGTCGAGTTTATTATCTAGTTATGTTAAAATCTATTAACTGAATTCAATAGTAGTAAATATTATTTAAATAATTAAGTAAACTATCTGAATTGTAGTATTTACCATCTTGATGGTAACTACTACTATTATAATGGTAATCAGTAATAATAAATGTTATTATTTTAATTAGTTACTACTATTATCAAAATCGTAATTCCTAATATAACCTGATGGTT